TCTCTCTCTCTCTCTCTCTCTCTCTCTCTCTCTTTTCCCCTCCCCCCGACCCTATCTACGCCTTTCTTTTTGGTAGGCCTAGACACCTCCACCCTTTCCCTTCCCTAATAAAAACTCTTACAGTGGGTTCCACTGTACCTCGTGTCTTCTCGCACCCGGTAAATAACACAGACAAATAACATTGGTGCCATGACAGGCCTTCCTGGCAGAGGATCCTGAACCGAGGCTGGTTCGTCTGCAACTGCCCACTTTCCATCTGCCCGGCCGGCAGCCGGATCGCTTCGCACCACACTGGCTACTTTGGTGAGTTTCCCCTGTGCCAGTCAGCGTAAACAGTTCCCTGGACCCGTGGGAATGACTGCTGATTGTCCAGCGTCCCTCTGGTGTCCTCGGAACTGGGGGTGCCCTGTCCACGGCCTCTAACGGCTAGGGTCGGCCCTCATCGCTGACCATCACCCGCCATTCCCCATGACTGCGGTCTGAGGCCTCCTTTTCATTTACTTCTCGTCTCTGGGACCCTCGTCCTCAGGCTACCGCCCCAGACCTCGGTCTTTGCTCGATGGAACACTGAGCGATTTGGGCCATTATTGATCCTCGCTTAATCTCTGGGACGCCTGAGACATTTATCCCCGTATCTCCTCTGGGATGCCTTTTGGAAACCCTCAAACCTCTCAGCTTAATGCCCTACTTACAGATCTCTAAGTTTATCTGCCTCTGCAACTAAAAAATGGCATAAATATCCCTTAGATAACAATAAAAATGGCTGGCTGGACCCCGATATTTTATGGGAGTTATCTAACTTCTGTCTGGGCAAATAGGAAAAGGCCTGGATACAAGGTGACTCTTTCCATCTCGGCTCCAAACCCTCTCCTCGATTCCCATGATTCCCATTCCTGCCCACGTGTCCTAGCTGAACCAGAGGAACCCCTCACTGCTCCTGCAGACCCTGCCAATGAGCCCCCGCCCTCCCGCCCTCCCTCCCACCCCTCCCCCTCCAGCGACCGTTCTTTCGGCTCGTCCAGCCCCTTCCTCCTCTCCAGTACCAGGTACCAGTCTCCGTGCCCCAGTTGCTCAACTACTGAAGGGACGGCAAAGGCGGCTTGATCTTTCTGGTCTCCAGTCTGGGGAGCGTGCTGAAGGGGTGCCAGGATGCCAATGGAGCCGCTTCTCCAGCACAAAAAACACAAAGAGAAGGTGACGGGAGGCGTGGCAACCTCAGGACCATCCTCAGCTCCCCGTCCCAGCTGGCCCTCATACTCACCCGTGGGATCCAAAGGACCCACAAGGCTGTTCTCACTGACCCTGCCTTCAGAGGAGTGGGCGGAGTCAGGACAGGAGGCCCCACCCACCAAGGAAACCAAACACAGCACAGCAAACCACTGCCCATTAGAACATTTATTTCTCAGAGAGAAAATAAGAGGTCATATTATAGTAGGTAAAATTAACTCTCGTATTCTTTACAGGCATAGACTTTTCTGTTTATTACCTCTCTTATAACCATCTGTTATAAACAATTCTAGAAGGCAAATAAAGTCACTTTCTACAATAAATAGAGCATCGTGTGCTTCACAGCAGACGCGACAGAGGCGCGCGGCCTCATGCCACAGCAGGATCTGAGCCGCACCCTGTTCTCAAAGACCAGTTCTCAGATGGGACTCAGAGACTGAAAAATAGAAGATAAAGTGTTGGGGGGAGGGGGGGAGAGAGGGGGAGAAAGCCCCGAGATCGTTACAACACAGGTTTAGACAAGGGTCACAGAGTCCACGGCTGACCAACTACCTAGGGAGAGGGGGACGCGTCGGCTCCTTTAACTAGACCACGCTGCGTGGCTGCACAATGGAGGATCCCGATATGGAGAGTATAGGCCTGGATAACTTACGACAGTATCTTACAGTTATGTACACCCGTCCCGCCCCAGCTGTTGCCGCGCTGTTTACTGGACGGAATCCCGCCCTCTCTGTGAGCTTTGTTGGTTCCCTTTTAAACTCTGGCTCATGTCCCAAATGTGTAACAAGTTGGTTTTAAATTTTAAAAAGTTTGAGTATGTAAAAATGGCAGTGATCTCCCTAGGGACTTTTTTTTTTTTTTTTGCCCAAAACTCCCCTATGAAAAATTTAAAACAATTAAAAATAACATCAAGGTAGAAATCAACATGGCAATCAGCGGTCCGCAAACCCGCCTGCGGCTTTGGTGCTTAAGAGGTGAAAAGAAATGTCAAGAGCAGAAGCCTCTCAAAGTTGCGTTGCTTAGTCAGTCAGCATTCCTCATTCACAGTTTGTCTTCCTTCCTTTCGGAGGGGAGGGGGGAGGCGAGGAGGGGAGGGGAGGAGGGGGCTGAAGGCAGGGCATGAAAGAAAAAGCAGGAGCAGCAGAGCCAGGGGAGAGAGGGTGCTGGCGGGCAGCCCATGCCCCCTGAGGTGACGGGATGCAATAAGGCTTATGTCTGCTGCAGGAAGAGAGAAAGAAGCCCACGAGAAGGGCATGTGCCGCTTTCAATGCCCATCCGGCCGTGTGCACGGGCAGGGTCCCACCCTCAGCACGCCTCAGCAAGGCGGAGGGAGGGCAGGAAGCCCACTCCCTCCACAGACGGGCGTGCGGCTGGGCTAGGCATGTCCGCAGTACAAGTGGACGTCTGTGGGGGTGGGAGGAGGGGTCCTTTCGAGTGGGATAGCGTCTACCTGGGGCTCAGGCGCCTGGCAGACCTATCTAACACAGCAGCTGGCCAGGAAGGGCATGGGCAAAGAAAAAGATCAATTTGGTGATGTTGCTGTCAGTTTGGCACGAGGGAGAAAGGAGAGCAATGTGGGAAGGAGAGCCTGGGCTGGGTGAGGATGGGGGTGGGGGGAGGGGAGCTCAGTGGGTTCCCGAGGGACCCTGGCACATCTCTGGGATCAGTGTCAGAACCTTGCCTGCCCTGAGGTATGGTTAGCTGGGAGAGGCATGGAGGAGCAGTTGGCCCCAGAAAAGCAGCCGAGGACCTCCTGCCTGTGGGCCAGGTCCACCTCCCTGGCTGGCCAAGACTCTCAGCTGTTTCTGCTTCTCAGTGGTTCTTCGGGGGAATATCCCCAGGGACCTCGGGTGGGAGTTTTTGGCACACAGCGGCCCTCCAGGGGAACCACATGATTGGTCGATACTGGGCCTTGCCCTTAGAGACCCAGTCCAGTCAGGGCCTGCCAGGAGAAAGAAGCTGCTGGCCAGACACTTGGCAAGGGCAGAAGAGGCTTCTCGTGCCTCAGGGGCAGAGGAGAGGCGAAGCAGGCAGACCCAGGCCCGGCTCCACTCTTACAGGTAGCTGGAAGTGACGAAGGAGTGGGGTCCACGTACTCGGCTCAGGTGGATCATCGCACGGTCATAGGCCACCTGCACAGACTTGCGGATGCTGGTCTTGCGGCCTTCCAACATCTTGAGTTTGTCCACGGTGTCCTCCACACCCAGAGGCAGGACTTTGTCCCTCGGAAGCCACTGCCTGAAACACAAGCAGAGCTGAGCTGCGGCTGCAGGAGACGCCACCGGGCTCCTCGGGGCCCAGCTACCAGGTCGAGCAAGATCAAGGGGAAGACAGGGAGCCCCAACTGTTTTCCAGCAGACAGGCTTAGTAACCCCGCAGGCCTGAGCCTTGCCCTGGGGCGTTTCTGTGACCAGCAATTCTGCCTCCTTTTTACACAGAGCCAGGGGGACAGCACTCGTCAGCCACTGGCCACCAAGCCCCTCGTGGAGGACACCACACTGCCCAGACTTCCTCAGGACCGGGACACACTTTCCCTCAGCTGTCGAGGACTGTGTTCAGCGTTCAGTTTAGCCCAGTTCCAGTAACTGGCTACCCTGAGAGCTGCCTACCCAAGGTCACGCCTGTCCCAGGGAACAGGTGGCATTTAGTGACTGTTGGCTTAAGGGTGCCGAGATCCTCAATTCCCAACCCCTCTCCCGAGCTCTATGGAGAAAAGCTGGGGCCTCTGCTCAAAGTGTGCTGAAGCTGGACTTTTCCCACGGCCGTGGCCTCTCTCCTGTGGCTTTCTGGGCTACCTGGTGAAAGGCTCCTCTGGAGGAGCTCCCCAGGGAGGTCCACTCCACCCTGACTCTAAGCACCGTTAGCTAGCTGGTGTCATTAGGAAGCGCTCGCACGGGCCAGCAGCATGGGCCAGCGGCAAGGGCCAGCGGCATGGGCCAGCGGCATGGGCCAGCGGCAAGGGCCAGCTGAAGCCTCCTCCTGCCCACACAGGGTGGGGCCTGCACCCTGGCAAGGGTCCTGCGGCAGTGGCGCCACTTACCAGGTGCGCTTGTTGTCAAAGAAGAGGACAAGGAAGAGCTTCTCTCCAGCCTCTGCCTGCCTCTGCTCGCCCAGCTTCAGCACGTCCAGGGGAGGGACAGGGATGGGGACGCCATTGTGCAGGAGGCCCTCCCGGGGCATCTTGGGATCGATGATCTGGAAGCAGAAAAGGAGACAGGGCTCTGAGCAGGGGAGGGTGGGAGAGCTACAGGACCAGCCAGCAAGGCACTGAAAACCTAAGCACCCAAGGGTTCAGTTCTACAGACCACCAGGTGGAGGAGGGGCAGGCACGTGATCCTCTGCACCTCAAAATACAAATCTTGACTGTTCCCCCAGTCCACTGTCCTACCCTCTCCCCAGCCTCGTTCAAACAGCCCTCTGGATGAAAGAGCTTGATCCATAGACTGAGTAGGACGGAGCAGGCAATTCAGAGGCCCAAGCCAGAGAGGCAAGCCCTCTTCTTATAGTGTCTTAGAAAATGACGACAGGCCGGGCAGTGGTGGTGCACGCCTTTAATCCCAGAACTCGGGAGGCAGAGGCAGCTGGATCTCTGTGAGTTCAAGGCCAGCCTGGGCTACAGAGTGAGATCCAGGACAGGCTCCAAAGCTACACAGAGAAACCCTGTCTTGAAAAACCAAAAAA